CAACACCATTGGGAGAGATAAAAATACCACTGGATTTTCCCAGTTTATTGCCCTCCTGATGTGTGCTGTCATCCATATGTGTTATATAGTTCAGCGTGTTTTGGTGGGATATCAAACTACAGTAGATAAGATTTCCCTAGTTCACAGGTAGGGAAGAAAAAATGAGAGGAAAGCCAATTACCCTTGCAACCCTGCGCATGGCATATTAGGTGAAGGACATAGTCAAATTGATAAGATTATTATCAGATGCCTGAGATCTTAGATAATGGTAGACGAGGTCGTCCAGATGGATCAATATTTTGCACAGTATTATAGCTATTGTAGACCATTGTGATGTCCACCAAGGGTCTCTGCTGTTTTCTTAATTTGGATAGTATCTGAAGTGCAGAATAAAAATAAACAGCACCAGCAATCCAAAACAATGGTTGTGCTCAGACTGACCAGTAACAGAGATATTTTGTGCTAGGAAGTCATGGGGTGATCTCCTGTTAGCGCCACACTGCCTAACTGGTGGCACTATATCTTTTTTTAAATCATGAATCCCCTTGTGACCCTTCTGCCTTCTTTGGGTGCCTTTGATCCAGAACTTGTGATCTATGAAAATCAGTGTGCGTATTTGCATCACTTGTCTAGGTTGTGGAAAGAATCCTAAGGGGTAATTCACATAGCCTTTGCTCTTTAAATTAATCTAATGCTACCATCCTTTGTAAACAAAAAAGTGAGTGAATATTGTATGCACGATGGCATATTTATTTAGCAGGGCTATTCCAAAATATTTTGCTGTTTGCGACAGAGCAGCGAGTGGTGCTTCTCCAATTAAAGGGTAGCACTTAAACCAATACATGGTGACACTGCGGGTTAAACCTCAGAAGCCTCTGTGCTGCAAGGTCAGAAGACAGACCAGCAGTCATAAGATTGAATCCATGTGATGGAGCAATCTCCCATCGCTTGTCCCAGCTTCTGCCAACCTAGCAGTTCAGAACCAGGTAAAAATGTGAGTAGATAAATAGGCACCACCTTGGTGGGAAGGTAACGGCATTCCATGTCTAGTCGCGCTGGCCACATGACCATGGAAACTGTCTTCGGACAAACGCTGGCTCTACGGCTTGGAAACGGGGATGAGCACCGCCCCCTAGAGTCGGACACAACTGGACTAAATGTCAAGGGGAACGAACTTAAACCAATGACGTTCTTTCCGCCCAATAAGTAGTTCACTTCCTTCCTGGAAGTAAAAATATGATAATGACAAAGTAAATGCCTAACAATTTCCTCTTTTGTCATGATATCTCACACCTGCTGTGTGAGATGGCTGCTTTACTCTGCCCAGTGGTAGAGATGGACCTGTTATGCAGCATTACATAGCTCTTTCGTTCTTTTTCAGGTAACCTGAATGTTTTCTTACAATTCACGCCAGCATTTGGCTCTGGCCTATCGTTATTGAATATAAAGGCTTGACAGCCTTGAGAAAATTACACGCTGGAACATTGATAAAATTAGTAATAATTGCACTCCCTCCCTCCCTACATGTGTCTGTTTTGGGAACAAAAGCTTAACAGAAAAGTTAGCAGACTATTAAATTGCCAACGCCTGTTCCAGACCTTTCTGTTTCTCTGCCTGATCTTAAAGATACCCAGTCAGCCTTGAAGTTATGGCTGGAATCCAAATAGTTTATACTTGCTTATGCTTGTTGAGTTTTGGGGTCCTGTTCTCTTTCAACAGTGGATCCCCAGGCAGTCTTAACAAACATGGAACAGCTTCAAAAATAGTGGGGTTGTTGAGTGGGTGGATCTGGTTTTTTTTCTTCTTGTTTCTGTAAAATAAGTCCCACACTCACTTCAGCACCCAGAACTACTTTCACCTTGCACTTTCTTTAAGAACCTAGCCTTTTTTTCTGAGACAGTCTTATTCTTAACTTCCTCTACTCTTGTTCATTTTCCAGGAGAAAGTATTTGCCGGTGGTGTCTGGGTTCAGTGGCTTGAACTGCCAGCTCTAATTTTGAAAAAGAACTAACGGGACTGTTTTCTCATTTCCCATTTCTGTTCCCACCCATTTTTTAAATGCTCTGTCAAAGGTCAGGGAGACAAATGTGCTGAGCTGAAGAGGATAACCAGCTTGGCAGGATGTTTCCATTAAACATTGACAGTGTGATACACAGCTCAAGGCCATGAAATTGTGAGAGGAGGTTACCCTCAAAGAGTGTGGATTTACCCCTGGGGGGTGGAAAAGTCACCGTTTTGGATGAAAACGCTACAACTTAGTCCAAAAACAATGATAGTCACACACTAGCATTTCAAATGTGGAAGTTACAGTCTAGGTTGCTGTATCCGATCTGCTTTTGACTCGTGTGGCGAAGCTACCCTGGATACAGGTAGCTCTCTCTCTTCAGGTAGTCACTTTCATGTATTAAAAATGACAATTAAGAGGTGTGAGACTAGTTAATGACCTCTCTTCATTGATTGGGCTCCCCCACTTAGATCATACCGTGTTTCCCCGAAAATAAGACAGGGTCTTATATTAATGTTTGCTCCAAAAACACACATTAGGGCTTAGCACCACTGCACCACAAGAGCCACATACTTAAATAAAATTCATATATGGCCTTGGTAGCCTCTAGCGTCACTCTTTCATGGTCTGCTTCCTTTTTGTCAACTCTACATAATCACAATTGTCCCCTCTTCTGTGTTCCTAGTTCTTTCAAGAACACACAAGGGGAGCTAAAAATGTGAAGGCAGATAGATCAGTGCATATGAACACATGCCAACAAATGTTTTCTAATGTCCTGTGCAAAGGTCTGGTTGTTTGTCTCTGGATACAGGTAGCCTGAGGATAATGACGTTTCCCAGAGGCAGTTGCCAAAGCTTGATTTTTTAAAAAAAATGTTAAGCTCTGCATTTCTTTGGGAAAATCTCTTGGGAGGGAGGGGCATATTATACTATGGTGGGCCAAAAGGAGCAGCAATGTGGGACCAAAGTGAATAAGGGGGAAGGTCAAAGGTGGCAGCAGACCCCCATTTGTCTTTCTATCCTGTCTTGTCTCTTTCTCTGCATTTTATCCTTCAACAAAATCATCCCACTCCCACCAGCCTCTTATGTTCCAGGTAAGAGGGAATCGCCATTTATACAATGGAGAGCTTTTTTCTAAGCCAGGGACCAAAGAAGGCAGAGCCTCCATGTCCTGAAAAGTTACTTGTTCTGATTCCACATGGCCAAAAAGGAATGTTGAGAATGATAAAAGATATACAAATCTATAAAGATATAATTTGCAACACATTTTAATAGGATAGTGTTTGTGTGTGCACGTGGCCCGATAGCAAAAGTTTCTAAGTGACCTACCAAAAAATGAAATCGGGGAAAAAACTTTGACCTGTTTAAAACCATGCAAAGAACAAAACCAGTATAACTCTCAGCTGTGCAAAGAAGGAAAGTAAGCAGGTTTCAGATTCTGTATTTTACCTTGAAAAAATTAAAATATATGAATTGCATTGGGTGCTATCTTCAACATTCCGTTTGATGTTAACAGCATCGTGGATTATTTGTGATTCTGTGGCTTTTTGTTTTTTGAATGTTTTGTTTTTTAAATTAACAGGCAGTGCAATCAAAGCTGCAAAATAATAACCGGAAGTCCAATCAGCTGTGGTAGGTTTGGAAGAGGCAGAAGCTTGTTGGGGTGAAAAAATGCCCTTGTGTTGCCTAATCTCAGATCTACTCATGCAGCGTCTGCAGCTCAGGAGAACCAGAAAAGGGGAGGAGAGAAGGAGAGGAGCTGAGTTTACAGTAAGTCCACAGCTCATTCAATTCAGACTCACACTCAGTAT